TAGTTCATTAATTTTCATTTTCTTGTTTTCTAATACATACACTTGAATCCGTAAATTTACTTCTACATACCATTTTAGCTATACTCCTACCTGAATTTTCAAAGAATTGAAGTTGGAGAGTAGGCAACGGGGCTAAAAATGAAACAGGTCAATGGTCACTGGTCTTGTTGTCTAAGGTGTTATCCCAGTTCGTTGTCTCACGACCGAAGGAGTGTGGATGCAAAGGGTGAGATGGGAGCGAAAGTTTAATATGCAAAAGAAGAAAGCTCTGCACAGTGGAGAGGGGAGCCCTAGTGGGTTGCTGTTTTTACAGTTGAATTCAAAAGCTTTTATAAGAAACTCCTCTTATCTCTGTAGCTATTTGAGTAATTTCTCTTATTAGTAAAGCTGTCTGTGCAACTCCCCTTATCTTATGTAGTTGTGGGTATGTCTCTAGGCACGCACAAAGTGCCACTTCTCTTGTTTCTATAACTGGGCTTAATTTAGGTAAGCCCTCCTTCTCCCTGTGCAAGTTCCCATGGAGCCCACCGTGTACATGCCCGAAAAGGTGAGGACACTTTTTCCTGGGAGCCTGCCAATCACACAAAGAACAAAAGGCTTCTGTGCTGGACCCTGCCTGCTTATCTGTGCAGGTGCAGCCTGAGTTTTCCCTAGGCTGCTCTATTTTTGCCTATAGGTGTGATTTTGTAGGCAGGCTGCTTCTCTGAGGACTAGCCTTAGCTGTGTACCTAACATTAACATTAGAGAAATGTCTTAGGTGCTGATGGGTTTGTTAATTATTGCACCCCAGAATTAAGTAGACTTATCTAGTCACAGTAATACTAATGTTTCATTGGGGTCTTCTCCTATAAACATATCAAAGGACAAGAGAAAAGAATATGTGTAGGCTCCCAAGAAAAGTGAGAAAGAGGCTAAATTATTCTGAAATTCAAGGTAAGTCACTCCTCTCACCAAAAAGTATGTATTTTTCCTTTCACAGGCAGTGTTTATCTAGGTCTACTAACATGTTTACCGATTTCTTTACTTTGTTGCTGCTTGCATTCAACTTGACTTCCTCTTGAGTTCGGTTTCCTTTCAGCAAAGGCAGGGGTCCCCAGTCCCCAAGCAGCCAACTGGTCAGTGACCTGTTATGAACTGAGCATGGGCACACGGCAGGTGAGCAGAGGGCAGGCAAGCATGACCACCTCAGCTCTGCCTCCTGTCAGGTGGCATTAGATTCTCATAGGAATGTGAACCCTATTGTGAACTGCGCATGCAAGGGATCTAAATTTCATGCTCCTTACGAGAATCTAGTGCCAGATGATCTGAGGTGGAACAGTTTCATTCCGAACATCTTCCCCCAATTTGCGGAAAAACTGTCTTCCATGAAACTGGTCCCTCATACCGAAAAGTTTGGGGACTGCTAAGCAAAGATTTCTGAATGGTAAACTATTTTGTTTGTTTGAAAATATTATTGTTATGGAACTGTTTAATTACTTAGCTGACTAGAAATTTTGACAGTATTTTCCAATCTTTTGTCATCCATTATTGAGTATAATGTTCCTTTTTAAATAATCAATTTGTCTTTTCTTTGACACTTTGCAATTTTATTATGTCTTTAACTGTAGATTTTTTATTCACTCAGAGTTTTTTGTTAACCTGAAGACAAATGGGTTCTTGAGATTCTGGAAAAGTATCAGGCATTATTCTTTTGTTGTCTCTCATACCCTTTTTCAGTTTCTTCTGGATCTCTTATTAGAATATGTAAAACATATTCAAACCACTATGACCTTTAGACTCTCCTTTGTCATGTTTTTAATTTCAAACACTGTACTTACAATTTCTAGATGTTTTTTCAAACTTGCCTGTCCTTTCATACTGTACTATTTTTATTAAAAAATGAATCTATTTAAAAACTCTCTTAATCATTTTAAACATTCTATAGTTTCTTTTAGAGTGTTTCATCACATTTTTAGTTCTTGGGGTGCTAATTCTGTTTGTCATGTCTACCACCTTTGCCACACAATGCTTTCTCAGATGACTCATCAGTTCATCTTCATTGAAGGCTAGTTTTTCTGTAGGATTTTTCGTGGCCTACGTTGTAGAAGTGTTTCAGAGAGGTTTTGTATTTGTTTTTGCCAATGCCCCGAGGGCTTCACTGCTCCTATAACAGTTTTAATGGTTTGGCTTGGAGTTCCTGTAGTATATAAATATACATATGTGTTCCATACTTGGTTGTGGCACAAGCTTGTGGGGTTTTGATTTCTCACAGGTGGCTTTTTAATTTTTAAAATTGTTAACCCCCAAACCAGAGACATCACAGGTGGGTTCTTCTTTCCCTATTCACTGTTGGGGTAGTTGGCAATTCTTTTCCACTATGATTTGTTGCCTATTTTTCTAGCGTCTCTTCTTAAATAAAACACTCTTTTTAAGATTGTAGCTTTTTTTTCTTTAAACAGTCTTGCTCTGTGGCCAAAGCTGTAGATCAGTGGCATGATCTTGGCTCACTGCAGCATCAGCCCCCTGGGCTCAAGTGATCCTCCCACCTCACTCTCCTGAGTAGCTGGGACTACAGGCATGTGCCAGCATACTTAGGGCTAATATATATATACACACACACACATATACATAATATATATATACACACACATATACATATTTTATATATTTTTTTTTTTTTCAGAGACAGGGGTCTTGGTATGTTGCCCAGGCTGGTCTTGAATTCCTGGCCTCAAACCAGCCACCTGCCTCGCATCCCGTGCCTGGACCCAAGTTTGTAGCTTCATTGGACAGTTTGTGTGGTTGGTAGGCATGGTATGTTTCAGTTTCAACCGCCTACTCTAGCAGGTCCCCAATTCCTTAACTCCTATCTACACATGTGGGTGTCAAAATCACCCTTAGTGTCTATTTGTTTTTGAAATCTGTGGGCTGCTACAATGTTAGCTCCCAGTTACCCTCCTGTCCTTGAGTATCTTATTTCTGACATCTCTTGATATGCTAGTTCCCTATTTAAAACAATACAAAACAAAACCAAATCTTTTTGGATATATTTTATCCAGCATGTTCTTGGTGGGGGAGGGGCATCTGTGTCAGCACAATCTACCATATATAAAGTGAGAAAAGAGCAAAGGACTGGCCCCTGGAGAATACTAACATTTAAGAAGTGGTGGAAGAAAAGGAGCCCTTCTGAATCTACATTTCGATCTATCAGCTAATGAGGAATTAAGGTATCAATTTCTTACTTGTGTAGCATAATGTTTATATATGAACAAAGGAACTGTTTCAGAAAATTTAATGTGAGGGTGCCAAAGTTCTAAGTTTTACTAGAAAGCATGACTCTAAAGTAGGAATATAAAATAGCAAAAATCTCTTCAGGGGCTTTTGGCCTCTTACTACCCAGACAATGTGTTATTTTCATTCCCCCCTCCACTTTCTCTAGCATAATGAGAAAACAATGTAAAATTCATCAAAATAAATGTAGTTTCAGTAAGTATAAATGACTATCAACTTAAAAGGTCATCTTGTTTTATGGAGGGTGTATTTTAATAAATTAAGAGAATGAAGCTCTGAGTATGGAATTTTAGGTATTATTTGGGGAGATAGTTTTAGGGCAGGAAATTAAAAATCCTATCTAATAAGACACTGTAAAAGATGCAGTACTCCAGCTCTCTTCTACAGAAAAAAAAAAGATGCAGCACTAGTCATTTAAGATAAAAACTGTACATATTTTAAATATATTTTTATTCATTTTCCAATGTTGATTTTAAAAAATAATTTCCTTATATAATCACGTTATGATTTTGCTCATTATAAACTCTCTCTCAATAACAGTTTAATGTAGTTTATACAGTTTTAGCTCTGTCCAGGCTACTAAGTAATATTTTTACTTTTTGTTCTAACTATACATCTTTTAGGCTTCAAAGAATAGCAATTTGTCTAGCAATTTAGCGATTAAATTCCTCTTTGCCCTCTATCCATGCCAATTCAGGGTTTCAAGCCTTTTTTCCTCTATGCATGCCTCTGTACAAATTGAAAACTTTGATATTATCTTACTCTTTATATGGGAAACTATTCCTCATATTTGGTTATTTTAACCATCTTTCTTTGAACCATTTGATAGTGTAGAAGGAAAGGAAACTATTTTCTATTTTGTTCCTATAACTCCGTTATGTTGACCACTGCAAGAAATGATGTTTAGAGTTTGATGTTTTTCCTTTTTTTTTTTTTTTTTTTTTTTTGAGACGGAGTCTCGCTCTGTCGCCCAGGCTGGAGTGCAGTGGCGCTATCTCGGCTCACTGCAAGCTCCGCCTCCCGGGTTTACGCCATTCTCCTGCCTCAGCCTCCCGAGTAGCTGGGACTACAGGCGCCCGCCACCTCGCCCGGCTAATTTTTTTTATTTTTAGTAGAGACGGGGTTTCATTGTGTTAGCCAGGATGGTCTCGATCTCCTGACCTCGTGATCCGCCCGTCTCGGCCTCCCAAAGTGCTGGGATTACAGGCTTGAGCCACCGCGCCCGGCCATGATGTTTTTCCTCTTAAGTGATAACACCAATATATTTAAAAGTGTGGTCTGTATTATTGTCCTTGAAATACACTGTCCCTGTGCACGATGAAGTTCACCCACCCCATTTTGCCCATTCACAGCCTCACAAAATCTGTCTATAGTTTATCCCCACTAGCTTAACATCCCTTTACTCATTAGAACATAAAAAACTTGGGGATTTCAAACATACTGTATTCTACAACAGCTCTGAAAAACAAGACAAACTCCTGTACAAAACCTTGGAATGCTGTTTATATCTATCCATTGAGAAATACCTTTCTCTTTAGTTAAGCCAGTTCTGACAAAAATTTTGCTATACTCTGCTTACTAATAAAGTCAGAGTCAGGGAAAGAAAGATTTTAACAGTTTTAAACTTCCTTTATTGTCAACAAAATATACAAACTAATTTTCAAGAGGATATTTTTTGTTCTAAGATATATTCACACTAGCAAGATTTTATTTTAAAGATAAACATTAGCAGATAAGCCATTTTTATTTTCCAGTTTCAGTTTTATAATGTCACTAAAGTCATTATCAAATTTTAAATGATCACATCTATAATCAAAGGCTGATACTATAAATATTGTACACAGTAATAACAGCTGTCTTAGAAGAGATATAGAACAAAGCTTATTTGTGCCTAGAGATATGATGACATCTATTGATAAGCTTTTAAGAAATATGTCATACCATATGACTTTAAAAGATGGGAAAACAGGTATACTAAATGAATAGCAATTTAAAAGAAGATACTTTCATTTCTTAGATTTCAGCATTATACGTTTTAATTTTTAATCATAAAAACAATTTTAAACTAACAAAATATACTACCTATAATAAATGAAATATCACACTAAAATGTGTTTGAGTCTAAGTGGGAAGAAAATCCACATTTATCTGATTTTTAGTATTTAAATCCTTGAAAAAATATATGCTTTATTGCAGAACTAACACTTTAACAAAATACAGACAATAACAACACACTATCAAAATGTATGCAAATGGCAGCTATGTAATTTGTATGTTAAACAAGTTAAATCCATGTATTTTTTAATTTACTCTCCCAATTACCTACCACCAATATCGATATGAAAGAATTCTTTAATTTTATCATATAATACCAACACCAAAGCACCCCCTGTACCACGAAGAACATTGGAAAAAGCGCCACGAAAAAAGGAATTGATTCCCTCATGTTGGTATATCTTCACAAAGCAGTCTAAGGTTCCTTTATATTGCCGTTTAGCCTCACCACTCTATATAAAGAAAGACAAAGGGTTTTCCATTATCTGAATATCTTTTATCTTAAGATAGTCTTCTATTAGCACTAAGGATAGATAAGATAAATACTGTGTTGAGTAGCACTGTGTTAATAGGCATATATGACGACTGTCCCTAGTGGTTAGAGAACATTCATACTTTTCAGGCACACTTGAAAACTGACCATACATTAGGTGTAACAAATGTCAAAGGATGTCATCACATAGACCACGATTTATCCTCTCACTACACTGCAATCAACTGAGAAATCAATAGCAAAATAGAAAAATGCCATATGGGCTACGCATGGTGGCTCATGCCTGTAATCTCAGCACTTTGGGAGGCCGAGGCAGGAAGATCACTTGAGCCCAAGAGTTTGAGACCACCCTGGGCAATATGGGGGCAAAATGCCATCTCAACAAAAAATACAAAAAGTTAGCTGGGTGTGCTGGCACATGCCTGTGGTCCCAGCTACCCGGGAGGCTGAAGTGGGAGGATCACCTGAGCCTGGGAAGTTAAGGTTGCAGTGAGCCATGATCACATCATTGCACTCTGGCCTGGGCGACAGGGTAAGACCCTGTCTCAAAAAAAAAAAAAAAAAAAAAAAAAAGGAGGAACAGAGGAGGAAGAACCCTGTGAAAACACAGGAAGAAGATAGCCATTTATAAGACAAGGAGAGAGGTCTTCAGAGGAAACCAAGTCTGCTGACATGTTGATCTCAGACTTGTAGCCTTCAGAACTGTGAGAAAATAAATTTGTTGTTTAAGCAAAACACTTTTGTGGATGATACCGGCCCTAGCAAACTAATACACACACACACATATATAAGACATCATATTCCCACTTTTTTTTCTCTGTACTATTGTGAGATTAGGTTGCAGACATCATGCCCTTTATCCTTAAACACTCAAGTGCATATTTTCTTTTTTTTTCTTCTTTTTTTTTTTGAGACAGAGTCTCGCTCTGTTGCCTAGCCTGGAGTGCAGTGGTGCCATCTCAGCTCACTGCAAGCTGTGCCTCCTGGTTCACACCATTCTCCTGCCTCAGCCTCCAGAGTAGCTGGGACTACAGGCACCTGCCACCATGCCCAGCTAATTTTTTGCATTTTTAATAGAAGACGGGGTTTCACCATGTTAGCCAGGATGGTCTCAATCTCCTGACCTCATGATCCGCCCGCCTCAGCCTCCCAAAGTGTTGGGATGACAGGCATGAGTGCATATTTTCTAAATATTAGGCTCGAGTGCGTATTTTCTAAATATTAGGATATTTTCTTACATATCCAAAGTACAGTTATCAAATTCAGGAAATTTAATACCATTGACCCAATCCATAGTCTACATGCATATTAATTTTCCATTTTAAAAAGTTTCTCAATGTGCTAAATTAGAACTAACTATAGAAAGAGAAGAAACACAGACATAAATGGAATAACTAAGTATTATCCTGAAATGAAGTAACAGATTAGTTTTATCCTGCCAGATTGCTTACTGGTCCTTCCAGGGCCATTCTGTAGTCAATAAAAATGAGGATAATGATAGTAACTACACCTCAGTGTTTTGAGAATTTAATGAGTAAAAAGTATAGAATTCTTAGGACAGTATAAAGCATATAATAAGCACAATATTACTATTCTAGTTTTCTGACCTCATTATTTTCACTTGCCCTCATAAAACTTATGACCTGGCTATACTGAACTACTTCTCAAGCCATATTTCTGTGTACGATTTTCCCCCTATGCTTAGAATGTTCTCTCACTGACTGAAGTAAGCCTACTCACTGAGATTTAGCTCTCTAAGAGACCACGTCTGATCATTTTAAGCGTCTGGGCAACCCTCCTCTATGTATTCCTGGAACCTACACACATTTGTATTTAAACCATTAACTGTTGTCTTCAATATTAGACTATGAATTTGGGTGCAGATTTTGTCTTTTTCTTTCACCAGAGCGTAGCATAGATAAAGCATGCAAATATTTGCTGAATGAATGAATGCAATAAGTACAGGTTGGTATCCCTTATTTGAAATGCTTGGAACTAGAAGTTTTTTGAATTTTTTCAGATTTTGAAATATTTGCTTTGTATACTTACCAGCTGAGCATCTGAAATCCGAAAAGCTCCAATGGGCATTTCCCTTGAGCATCATGTTGGTGCTCAAAACATTTTGAATTGTGGGGTGTTCTGGATTTAGGATTTTCAGATTTGGGATGGTCAACTGGTAATAACAATAGAGATCAAATTCATCAAAAATTTGGTTTAGGGATTTATATTTGGAACATAAACCATTACAAACAAGTTTTTGTCCTTGGAGTCAAAATTATTTACTTTCTTAAAAATATATTACAATAAACAATGAAATATTTCAATGGCTCATGACTAGGCTCATTCTACTTAATATAATATTTCAGTTAAGATAGATATACTCGGCCGGGCACAGTGGCTCAAGCCTGTAATCCCAGCACTTTGGGAGGCCGAGACGGGCGGATCACTAGGTCAGGAGATCAAGACCATACTGGCTAACACGGTGAAACCCCGTCTCTACTAAAAAACACAAAAAACTAGCCGGGCGAGGTGGCGGGTGCCTGTAGTCCCAGCTACTCAGGAGGCTGAGGCAGGAGAATGGCGTAAACCCGGGAGGCGGAGCTTGCAGTGAGCTGAGATCTGGCCACTGCACTCCAGCCTGGGCAACAGAGCCAGACTCTGTCTCAAAAAAAAAAAAAAAAAAAAAAAAAATAGACAGACATACTCATCCAATTTCTGCCATAACCCTCTACCTTCCAAGCAATATATGCTACAGGAATAGTAGGTATTTCTGTTTTGATGGTAGGTGAGGAAGAAGCTTTGCTGGCTGATGGTTATTTTAGGATAGGAAAGAATATAAGACAGAATACATCATGTATTTATTTTAGCTAAGTAAAACAAATGATCTATGCCTTTCAGCCAAAATTTCTCTTAAATTTGACTATACCCAAATATCAGAGATATTAAAAACTCAACTAAGCTTAGAAACAACAACATAAAATACCTGCATCATCATACGTCTTCTAACTGTGTCAAAGGGATAAGAAAGTATTCCAGAGCATGTAGTCACAACTTGAGCAATGAAAAAGGAGACAAGAAATGGAGTTTTCTTTGGCTTTGGTAATAAACCCTAGAAAAGAAAAATGTACCAAGTAACTATCCAAATTTCTAAAATATCTTAAATTCGTAAGTTAAAGGATAATTTTTATAAATATATGAAAGAGGGTCCAATTATACTTAAAATGCAATAAAAAAGCTGGATTTAATAGTAGCAGATCAACAAAAAGTGGATTGCCACACATGACTATATTTCAAAAGTATATTTCAAAAATATAAAGCATATTTTCCATGATAAGAATTTGTTACTAATGCACATAAAACTAGGGAAGGTAGCAGACATTGACAAGAAAGAAGTTCTTCCATGGCTCTTCCTTGTGGGGTTGAAAAAAAGTGAAAAAAATGCTTGCTTTAATCATCAACACGTATTTGATGAGCAGCTTTAAAACCTTAAGCTAGTGGAAAAACGTTCCTAAATTTCACTACTGCAGGTGATAACAAAGAAAACTAGAGACAGAGTATGCACATAACATTTTTTGTGATTAAATAAATGTATGAGATCCTGTAATTTTCATTAACATAGCAGTCTAAAAAATACACTAAAAACTGATCTGTCCAGATTTCATTACTTCCTTTTGGAAGCATTATAATGTAGGCATCAAGAACATGGTTTTTGCTTGCCTTTAACAAGTAAATTACTTACCATTCCTAGGCTATTTACTTAGCAATTCCTAGGCTATTTATCTTTAAACAAAGGGGGGATTTTATTTTTTTATTATTTATTTTAAACAACTAGAAATATCTTTATTTTCTTGTTTTTTTTTTTTATTTCAATAGGTTTTTGGGGAACAGGTAGTGTTTTGGTTACATGGTTAAGTTCTTTACTGGTGATTTCTGAGATTTAAGATGTAAAGTACTTAAAAAAGATTCCTAGAACTAAGTAATAGCTAAAAATTGGTAGCCATTATTACAATTTTTCTTTTTCCTACCACATGGAAGTGTTCTTAAAATCTGAAATGAAAAGGTAAATTGCAGAACAACCTGGAGAATACAACACAGAATCTAACAGTATCCAGGAGATAACCAAGCTACAGTAGCATTTATTTAATTTGCTTTGCCTACTTCTCAAAATGACAACATTTGATTATTTGCATATAAAAAGTGATAATAGGGTTAATATGAAATCAGAAAAACTGCTAGAAGATGCCTTTCCATATACCAATGATTTGATTATGATGTAAGCTTAATTAGCATGTTTTTCATTTGCAATGTGATGTATAGTGAAAACATCTCAAAAACTTAGATACATGCTTTATAACTAAAGTCAGATCCACACTGCAGTTATAATTTAATTAGGTTATGGCAAAATCATGATTAAGCAGAATTTCATGTCTCTCTTTATTTCATCACTGATTTTTATTTTTATAATTAAAAGTAACATATCTGCTGAAAACATTACTAATTAAATAAATGGAAACCATATATGTAATATGTCCAAGTTAAAGCCCCCAGATTACCTTAACTGTGTCATAAGCTCCAAAATAAGAGGCTCGGTACACAATGATGCCCTGTACTGAAACACCAAACCCTTGGTATAAACCAGCAATTCCATCTGATTTTGCTATTTTCATAATACAGTCACCTAAACCCTTGAATTGTCGCTCTTCAGGACCTAAAATAAAGCCATTTAAAATTTATTAGCAACATTATATATCCAATAAACACTTTAATCAAAATAAACCTTCACAGATCTAAATGGTCTGAAATTCCCACTTACAAATCTAACAAAGAAGGCACAAATCAAAATCCTCCCATTCTTTTACAGATAATCAAGATTTCAAGTAATATCTCAAAAGAAATTATGGAAAATATTAATCTCTCATGAAAACAATTTACTTCAAACAACTTGCCTTAAAGCATTTTATTAAAGTTACCAGAAGTTACTAATTGAAGTTCAGAAAATAATTTGAAATGGGCCAGGTGAGATGGTTCATGCCTGTAATTCCAGCACTTTGGGAGGCCGAGGCAGAAGGACTGCTTGAGGCCAGGAGTTCAAGACCAGCCTGGGCAACATAGTGAGACCCTGCCACTACAAAAAATAAAAAAATGTTAGCCAGGAGGCTGAGTTAGGTGATCACTTGAGACTGGGAGTTGGAGGTTTCACTGAGCTATGATTGTATTCCAGCCTAGGCAACAGAGTAAGACCCTGTCTCTATTAAAACAAAACAAAACAAAACAAACAAACACTTAGAAATGAAAAACTCGACAGGGCACTGTGGCTCACATCTGTAATCCCAGCACTCTGGGAGGCCGAGGTGGGTAGATCATGAGGTCAGGAGTTCAAGACCAGCCTGGCCAAGATGGTGAAACCCTGTCTCAACTAAAAATACAAAAATTAGCCAGGTGTGGTGGTGGGTGCCTGTAATCCCTACCCAGAGGCTGAGGCAGGAGAACTGCTTGAACCTGGGAGGCAGAGGCTGTAGTGAGCTGAGATCATGCCACTGTACTCCAGCCTGGGTGACAGAACGAGACCCTGTCTCAAAAAAAAAAAAAAAAAAAGAAATGAAAAACTCTGGGACTGCTGAAAAGCAAAAAGATAAAGCTAAAAACTTGTAAGGATAGTTTAAGATAGTTAACATTTCACATGAAGGGGTCATATTTTTCTAGTATTTTCTGGTTTTACTTTTTCTTTTCCCTTGACCAAGAATTCCTTGACAATATTTTAAAACTATTATACATGTACAATGTAATCTTCTAAAAATAAACTAAATCCTCCTGATTTGAAAGAGAAAATAAAACTATGGGACTTAAAGCAAGATAATATTGATTTATTTTACCTTTATTAATAAAAATAAAATTTCAACTTCCAGTTAAATAGATGAAACTCACATTTTTATTTTTGTTCAAACTGCCACCCCTTCTGAGACATTTTCTGATCACTTATTGAAAATTGGTATCACTCTCTTCTAACTTTTTTCCCTAGCATTTATCATTCAGTGACAATATATTTTAGTCATTTATTCATTTATTATTACTTGTATCCTCCACTAGACTCTTAGGTACACGAGGCGTGAGCTCTATGTCTTATATAGGGGGTGGGGTGTGAATATGTGTGCATATATATACATATACACACTCACACACACCCTGTATCTGCAGGCACCCTGTAATCCACAAGGCACTCAATATTTGTTGAATGAATCTCTGTACCCTGAAGAAACTCTATTACATTAACAATAATGAAATAAAACAGGTTTAAAGCCAGATAGGCCAAGAAGAGAACATGACAGAACAAAATCCACAAAATTTTGCCAGATGGAGAGAATAGGGAGGAGTGGTAACTCACCAAATAGAGCAGAAAAAGCTGAACCTATTTTCTTACAGAGGAAGATATTGTTGGGAAGCAAGCCATTTGATCACAATAACCTCAGAAAGACTTAGAAATCAGAGGAACTAACTACTACTTCCAGGATGAAAGCAAAGGAGCAGGGAGATGCTCAATATCCACAACCTCACCCTGAGCACAAATGACTTACTGTGCTGCCACCCACAGAACTGAACACAAGGTTCCAGATTTAACTGGGCCAGTTGTGCGATCTCTGCAAACACTCAAACACTGCAAAAAGACTCACATAGAGATATTTTACTGTGAAATATAAGATCATCAGGGGATAGAAAGAAACTAAAAAGAAAAAACATATACTAAAGGATCCAGGGTAAGCAAATGGGTATCTTAAGAGCAACATCAGAAACTAGAAGTCAGGGTAATTTTTCATAATTGTGAAGGAAAATAATTTTAAACTCAGACTTTTATATATGTCTTACCCTTTTTGAGAGGGTAAGACAAATACTTTTTTTTTTAGATATGTAAGAGATTATTTTATTTTTTTCACTCCTTCTCAAAAAGTTACCAAATAACATACTCTTCCAAAAAAAAAAAAAAAAAAGGGTGTAATAACAAAGAAGGGAAGATGTGATATTTAAGTAAGGATAGAGGCAAAGGGACTCCCTAGGATGAGACTTGTGCGTCTATCCTAGAAAGGAGCCATAGCTGAGACAAGACTAACTGCATGGAAAAAAATCTAGGAAGGGGTTTCTAGGAAGAAAAATGGGACTAAGTTATAAGCAGTTTTTAACACTCACTTTTTTGTTACAACAGGCTTTCCCTCCTTCCCTTTTTTAAGGGAAAAGCAGCAAGTAATATACTTTAGGCCCTATGCCTCTACCATTTGGTTGAGAATAAAGTTTGTAGACTTTATCTGGTAACACTATCATAGCACAATTAATGATAATAAATAACACATGGTTCCAAATGCAAAGAAGGGAAAAGTTAGTATTTCTAAAAATCTCATACCTTTTCCAATATCGACACCTAATCGGGTTCGGGCAAAATCTAGAGGATATACTACACATAAGGATGTTGCTCCAGCAGCTCCACCAGAAGCCAGGTTTGCCAAAAACCACCTCCAGAACTGAAACATATTAATTTAAAAGTGATTATTAAACCACAGAATCTAACTGTTTAAGATACCTGGTAAATTCTTGTTTTTATAAATGTTAAAACAACAGATTTATAAGCTACTTTTATAAAGTAAACATCTATAATAATGCATACCATGCTATACAAAATATTTTCTCTTCACAGCCACATAGCCTTTGTTTCATGCAGTCTGGAAGACACAGTTTAGATGCTGACATACTGAAATTCCAGGATATTTTAATGTTCTCCAGCAAAGCAGCCCAAATTAGCAAAATAGGTCGCATAATCAACTCTTTACACTGCATACTCTTTTTTATTAATAGCTACATACATTCTTAATAATAGTGCTTGCTATGATTATAATATCAGGCACATATGGAGGCTTTAGTTGTGCCCTTTTACTGGGAAGGGTACAGTAAGTAGTAGTATGGCAAAAAACTGCAGTTACTTTTTGCACCAACCTAAAATACTTCATAATGCCCCAGCTTCACTTTGTAATTTAAATAGAATTAAATTTGAATAGCTCAAAAATATATATTTAATTATGTTCAAATGACAACATGGAAATTGGCAGACATCAATCATAACGTAGTTGTATGGAATTTAAGTTGGCCTCACTGGTCTACTAGTTCACATGAGCTATTGAAGAAGTATAATTATTTTTTATCTACATTTAAAATGTGCCCTCCCCAGGCTCAGTAAGATGCTTTTCAACATCTAGTGCTTATGGGAGAAGAAAGGAGTATCTGAATTGGAGCTGTTATGAAAAATCCAGGATATGAGGACACTGCAAGCATCAAATACATTAAAGTGAATAATATTCTAGTCATGCTCAATTTCTTGTTTTATTTTCTGGCTTTTATTTCTAACGATAAAGTGTCAGACAGCTTTGCAATTCTCAGTGTTCTCTAGTCCTGGAATGCCCTTCCTTTTTTAAACAAAAAAATAGTTACTGCTTCATGCTCTAATTCAAGTTCCACTTCTCTCATGAAATATCTGATCTCCAACCCATCTATTGAAACTGTGTATGATCATATCTTTTTCCCATAAATACTTCATCTCTGTCAGAGAATTAAAGTTGAATCCCATGACCAATACGTAAAACGTATTAACATGTTATAGACTCTTATTTTTTTTGAGACGGAGTCTTGCTCTGTTGCCCAGGCTGGAGTACAGTGGGGCAATCTTGGCTCACTGCAGAGACTCTTATTTTTTAAATAGCACTTACAACCATTTTCTACTTTCAATTTATAATTATTTGTGTACATTTATACTCCTACAGACTATAAATTTCCTTTTCTTCTTTTTTTTTTTTGAGACAGACTCTTGCTCTGTCACCCAGGCTGGAGTGCAGTGGCGCGATCTCGGCTCACTGCAAGCTCCGCCTCCGGGGTTCACACCATTCTTCTGCCTCAGCCTCCTGAGTAGCTGAGATTACAAGTGCCCGCCACCACACCCGACTAATTTTTTATATATATATTTTTAGTAGAGACGGGGTTTCACCGTGTTAGCCAGGATGGTCTCCATCTCCTGACTTCGTGATCTGCCCACCTAGGCTTCCCAAAGTGCTGGGATAACAGGTGTGAGCCACCACGCCCAGCCCAGACTATAAATTTCTTGAGGTCAGCATTATTTTCCCTTAACAGCTATACTAAGTATGATTCAAATATCATAAAATTCACCTATGTAAAGCATACAATTCAATCGTTACTATATTCACAGAGTTGTGCAACCATCACCACAGTTTAGAATATTTTCATCCCACCAAAAAGAAACCCCAGGCCTGTTACAAGTCACTCCACATCCTCCCTACCTCCCTCAGTCCTAGGCAACCATTAAATTACTTTTTGTCTCTAATTATTTGCTTACTTGGACATTTCATATAAATAGAATCACACAAGACACACTCTTTTGTGACTGGTTTCCTTCATTTAGCATAATGTTTTCAAGGTTCATCCATGTAGCAGTATATATTAATACTTCATTCCTTTTTATTGCCAAATAATATTCTATTTTAGGAACATTATCTACTCATCAGTAGGCAATAATGAGAAAACAGAGCAAACATACACATGAAAAGCAGGTAGAGAGAAAGACCAGGTGACTTGGGAGAGAAAGATGAGAGTATAGTTTGGTCCATAGAGGTGCCTGTAGTTGAAATTCAAGTGCCACTGTATCATTACAATAAATCCTCTTTTTCCTGAGGTAATCTGAGTCAATCTCTGCTTCTGAAAACCAAGCACGTCAACCAAACAAGATATGTGACATAAAGATTTATAAAGTAGACCTTAAGTTCTACTTAATCTTTTTTTCTTTCTTGATAAGAAAGAAGGCAGATCAATGATTTTTGGGGTGGATAATCGTGTACTTTATCATTCAAACCAGGACACTTCCGATAGAGAAAGTGGGAGCTATGAAAAAACGACAGGGGCAGGCACAACATGTATAAACAGTATGGCCAATCTATGTAGTGATGGTAAGAAGGATAGAAATAGAGGGAGGAAGGCAGTAAGAATCTGCCCATGCTGAGTGATGATCCTGCATTTATGTAACAAAACCTGTCCCTCCACAAGTAAGATTGAAAATAAAACAGACCCATAAGAGGTAGTATGTATATAAGTATAAATGAGTTTTGGTTGTTGTAAGTTAGTAATTTAAAGTATTACTATATTGGTGTTTTTTTTTCTTTCCCTCAGGCTGGAGTGTAGTGGTGCAATCTGCGCACACTGCAAGCTCTGCCTCCCGGGTTCACGCCATTCTCCTGCCTCAGCCTCCCGAGTAGCTGGGACTACAGGCACCCGTCACCATGCCTGGCTAATTTTTTGTATTTTTAGTAGAGACGGGGTTTCACCGTGTTAACCAGGATGGTCTTGATCTCCTGACCTTGTGATCTGCCCTCCTCGGCCTCCCAAAGTGCTGGGATTAAAGGCGTGAGCCACCACGGCCAGCATACTATATTGCTAAAAGAAGAGGCACAGAGAAGAATCAGGAAGGGAGAAGAAGATGAAAGTCTGAGAGTTCTGAGGAAAAATAATCCTATTTATTTTTAATTGTTGACAAATACTGTGTGAAAAGACTCAATGATGCATCAAACAACAAATGCCCTGAGACCAAAGTTGTTTAAAACAACTTGTCTGGACAGGGAAGAGAGCTGGGAACAGCTCTAGTCTTCCCCATTGAGGGTTGTGCTGAAAGCTGCTAATGGGTGGCTGAGGAGCAGTTTATGCCCAGGCTCAGCTGAGTCTCATCCATTCTAGTAGCCTCAGGTGAATTTAGGAGTTAGATTGGAACAAACTAGCAGAGCAAATGCTTTAAGCTCTGAGTCCTACTCTCCTTATCTGTACCTTTTGCGTAAAAATAACTACCTCAAAGAGTGAAGTGAAAATTCAGTGAAACAATACATAGTAGGCACATGCTTCTCTTACCATTTTTAAAAAAACTTTTTATTTTGAGGTAATTTTGGATTCACATGTATCATAAGGAGTAATATACAAAGAGACTATAAATCATTCAACGAATTATCCCCAGTGTACCAGCATATCTGTAGTACAAGAAATGGACATGATAAGGCCTACCCTATTCAGACTTTGTCAGTTTAACATGTACTTAGTTGTGTGTTTATTCAGTTATTCACAGTTTTGTCACATGTTCAAATTGGTCAACAGTTCCACGAGAAGGATCCCTCATGCCACTCTTAAAATCACAGCCACTTTTCTTCCCCCTGGCAAACAGTATTCTTTTTTCCATCACTATAATTTCATCATTTCAAGAATGTTATATAAAAGAAATCAGACAGCATATAACCTTTGAGATTGGGTTTTTCTACCTTAAAACCCAAAGCTGGTGCACATATCAAAAGTTTGTTCCTTTTTTGTATACTGATAAAATATATACAAGATTTACCATTTTAACTATTTTAAGTATACAATTCAATGGCATTAAGTATGTCTGCAATGTTGTTTAAACTTTGTCACTCTTTCCAGAACTTTTTCATCATCCTAAACAGAACTCTGTAACTCATTAAACACTAATTCCCCATCTCCCCTCTCAGTAGTTTAACAGAGGTTAACCACCTGTTAATTTATAATCTGCCTTCTGTCGCTATGAATTTGTCTATACTAAGTACTTAAGTAGAATCATACAATATTTGCCCTATCAAAACTTTGTTCCTAGACAAGAATGTCCACTCTCACCATTTCTATTCAACACAGTGATGAAAGTCATAGCCAAAGCAATCAGGCAAGAGAAAGAAATAAAAGGCATCCAAATAGGAAAACGGGAAGTCAAATTACATGAGTAACTTAACCAAGGAAACCCTAGATATACCTCTCAAACCCTAAATATACCTCTAGACCTGATAAATGACTTCAGTAAAGTTTCCGGATACAGAATCAATGTACAAAAGTCAGTAGCGTTTCTACACACCAATAGCATTCAAGATGAGACTCAAATCAAGAACTCAATCCCATTTATAGTAGCCACACACATACACAAAAAAACACATAGGAATACATTTCACCAAGGAGGCGAAAGATCCCTACAAGGAGAACTACAAAACATTGATGGAAGAAATCATACATGACACAAACAAATGGAGAAACATTTCATGCTCATGTACTGGAAGAATCAGTATCATTAAAATGACCATACTGCCCAAAGCAGTTACAGATTCAACAGAATTCCTATCAAATTACCAACATCAGTTTTCAAAGAATTAGAAAAAAGCATTCTAAAATTCACATGGAACCAAAAAAAGAGACTGAATTGCCAAAGGAATCCCAAGCAAAAAGAACAAATCCATAGGCATCACATTACCTGACATCAAACTATACTACAAGGCTATAGTACCCAAAACAGCATGGTGCTGGTACAAAAACAGACACATAGACCAATGGAACCGAATAAAGAACCCAGAAACAAGGCCACACACCTACAATCAACTGATCTTTGACAAAGTTGACAATAATAAACAGTGAGAAAAGGACACTCTAT